AGGGCCGAAAGTCTCTCTTGAAGTGGGAGATGGAGCGCGTCAGGAGCCCAGCCTTTTAACTTGCATATAGCTATAAGCGCCAGGTGACATGTGGAGATTCGCAGACCAAACGTTCTTCCTCGAAGTCAACGAACAGATGCAGGCCATTCAGACTTTGTTTAGTTCTCGCTTCCCGCTGATGTTGCTGACCAAGCCCTTCCGGATGGGCCAGTGAATGTGGGGTTTGCAGACCTCCCTACGAACATCTCACATACTTATTTTCCAAAGCGACACGGGACAAACACAAGGGGATCGCAGCTGGAGCTCCGATTTGAACAGATGGCATTCAAAACACAGCCATTAGTGAAACCTTCCCACCTGTCCCTACAAGGATTCATGTTGCAGAAAGCAGGAACGAAATCTAAGTGAACAATTTCAACGCAGTGTAAATTCAGTTCTCCAATCCATTGTGATGAGGTTGAGATGCCGAGTGATCCTTGGATTCCAGTAGTCAATCTGGCTGAGAAGACTGGTTTTGTTTCAACAGCCTATGTGTACCTGTTCTTGTTCCGACTTCACGCCATGGCCAAGTGGTGGGAGCTTCCAATCCATTGGAAGCGTGAACTGGCAGCTCCCAAGGCGAGCAAGGCACGCCTGGAAAGTGAGGCCAAAGGGCTCAGTATTCATTACCTGGCTGAAGACTTCCTATCTCTCGTGGAAGATGCAGGCGTCGGCCATCGCAATAATTGATGCTAACACCTGTTCTTATGTTCTTACGCCACGCCAGACCGTGCCAGACCCTCATGTTGTTTGTTGTTTCTTTTGTATTGCATGATTTGGTGGACCCCTGTCAGATGAAAGCCATAGTCCTTGATCTTCCCCAAACAACCCAGAGAGGCTTGAGCAAAGAGAGCACCATCAACGATTTGGAGAAGGTGGTCCGTGCTCACAGTGCTAGCACTACTTGCCCCAGAGATTCTTGTTTGGGTTCAGCCTTTGTTGACTCTGTGTTGGGTGAAAGCAATGTGGGCGCCGCCACTCATATGTTGTCATACACCTGGGCCTATGCCATCGGAGAGATCGCCGAGAGCCTTCAAGAGTGGTCGAAGAGCTATTTGTTGGATCCGAAGCGTAGCTACATTTGGATGTGCTGGGCCTGTGTCAATCAGCATCGAGTTCAGGACATGCGCCAGAGGGGTGAGTTCGTGCCCTTTGAGGAATTCAGAAGTGTCTTTGAGGGTCGTGTCAGAAGTATAGGCAAGAACCTTTGAGCATATTTCAGTACAGTTTGGCACTGACATGTTGCGGATGTGCTTTTGTGGTGTTCCTGGGCATTCTTAGATGCATGGACCGTCTATATTCGTATATATTCGACATGTATTGTTACAATGAATGAGTATTTGCGTAAAAACTGCTGCGTTATTCTACAGTCGTGCCCTGAAGCCGCAAGCCGAGGATAATTGCCTTGATGATGCCTTGGCACGCTCCAGCATACTTGGGGCGCTCTTGGTGTATGCTGGAACTCCACACTGCAATTCAATTGGGCGCAGAATGCGAGTTGACCATTTTGATGCCTCCCAAAGAAGAGGAACTCGGACAACTGCAACAAAACAAAAACGGGTCGTTTCGCCCATTTGCAGATGACCTAAGGCAAGAACCTGTGTTTGTGAAAACAATCATCAATCGTTACTTAATTCTACTCCCAACAGACCCACGGTTTTTGCATACACATAGGGAAGTAATGGGAAACATCGTCTTGCACGCATCATCTGATTCTGATGTTACTAGGAGCAAAGGGCATCGCTACTAGGAGCGATCGGACGCTACTAGGGGCTCCTGGCCTTACTACTAGTAACAAGAACGCTACGTTCGGAGCAAAGGGCATCGCTACGAACGGAGCAAAGGATCTTACCGACACCTTTTCTCGGTGCTTTCGGATTTGCAGGAACAGTGGACCTTGAGTCTCATGACGGGAGACGGTTTCGGAAAGATTTACACCACCCTGCGGGAAGCATCCATCAGCTCAGCCCGGGCATGTGTAGCTGCAGACCAGTTGAACATCATGCGATTGGTGGATGAAGGCAGGAAGCATGGCTTTTGCGAAGCTGAGGTAGATTCTGCTAGATGTCCTGAATGCTTGCTTGTGCCTGCTAAAGAGTGAAATAAGCCAATATGTGACACAAGTAGTGCATCTGGATGTTTGGTCATGGCAATGTGCATTGACATCGGGTGAAACACAGATGGTGATGGAGCCTGATCAGATGAGCTGTCGGTAAGATCCTTTGCTCCGAACGTAGCGTTCTTGTTACTAGTAGTAAGGCCAGGAGCCCCTAGTAGCGTCCGATCGCTCCTAGTAGCGATGCCCTTTGCTCCGAACGTAGCGTTCTTGTTCTTGGTAAGATGATGTTTGCTCGGTTCACAGGAAGGTAATGGAGTTGTGTGCTGTCGGGAATCCGTGCTCAGGTCAAGGCAGAGAAGCGTTTGATTCTCAGGTGAAGAAGCACCTTGAGGGCTGGTTCCTTCAATCTGCAAGCAAGCATGTCCAAGGGCTCCCACTGAAGATGCTGAAAGCCTGTTCGCAAGTTGGAAAGCTCTTGAGTGATTTCTCCTACTTGGATGATGCTATTTCAATCCTCGACTTTGGTTTATCGACCGAGACCAGCCTGATCACCTGGTATGCTCAGTCTCAAGCATCAAGGGCGGCCATGGCTATTGATGTTGGCAATCTCTGGCATGAACGAGGTTGGATCGAGCACAAACGTGGCTTGCACCAAAGTGCCATCGAGATGTACACGAAAGGCTTGGAAGAACTCGAGAGAATGGCCGCGTCACAAACCATCGCAGGATCGAAGCTGCTCCGTGGCCGAGCGAGAGCTTTTGTCCGTGATGAGCCGGATGAACTTTTTTCCGATGAGCCACCCCCATCTGTGGCTGACCTAGAGAAGGCTTACAAAGATATGCAAGCGTCGCTCCATATCTTGCAGAGCCATGGCTTGGAAGCGACGGAAGATGGTGCAAAGATGTACAACAATCTAGGTCTCTTGCATTCGTTACGTGCAGATTTTGAGGTATCCACGAGGATGTTTGAAGCAGCTGGTCGCATTCGAGACATCACAAAGACTTTGCAGACACCAATGAATGCTCGCCGCCTCTACAACTTCGGGAGCATGCGCTTGAAAAACGGACGCATGACACGTGAGCAAGATGTGGCTGCTTCCCATTTTGCAGAGGCAAAGAAGCTCTTGCAGGAAGCACTCAGCATATTGAAAAAGTACGACGCACGGTTATACAATGCAATATTTCACTGTGCGTTTTCCGCTTTTCTTTTGTTTGATTTCGGTAAAGGTATGTGTCTTTTTCCTTCCAGGAAGTCAACACCGAAACAACCGTCATCTCAGGAAATTAAAGATGATCTATTTGCAAGATGTCACCGCAAGCTTGATTGGATCTCCTCACTGGCCACTCTGAAATCGGGACATAGGATCAGCCTTTGAAGAGTGTTGTGATGTTCATCAACCACCAATCACCTTTGGTGGTCACAAGTTTCAAACCAATCAGGTGCATGAAAATTAAGGTCTTTAAGCTCCAGAGGCTGAGAAATCCCTCGTGCAGATTTAGACGCCTGAAGATTTTCATCGAAATCCGTAGGATTTGGAGCCTGACACGACTTCTTCACGAGGATTTGGAGCAGGTTTTGCATAGTTCAGCCATTAGGTGGCCGCCTCACAGAAGAGGCATCACTCTTTGTAAAGTCACTTGGCATCGCTCTTTTCCCACTCAGACTCATGGTGTGGTCAAGAAATCTCTCTTTCCCCCCTGCAGCGACAGCTTGGGGTCTGCGCAAAAGGATCGGAACAGGTTTTGTGGGCAGGTTCTGGATAAGACTCAGGCTCATGTGAGGGCATTTCAAGTGAGGTGCAACACTTAACACTCTACTTGCATGCCGATCTGCGATACGTGATGGGTCCTATGATGGTGAAACAACAGCTTTGAAGGGGTGCATGGGTCAGGGATGATGTTATGGCATGGTCATTTCATGGAGGACCAGGCTGGTTTGGATGTGGGATGATGTAGATATCTCTCTGCATGAGAGGTTCTTGTAAGATGCCTGGCAGGTGCGAGCAGTTTCCTTCACCGGAGACACTATCAACGTGGTGGGTTTCATGGGAATGGAGGGTGGTAGTCCCAAGAAACACATAAATTCCAAGACACAGCGGGACTGGGGTTGGAAGATGTGGGGTGGTTGCGGAACATGCACGTCACCAGCTTTCTGCCACTCAATCGCTTGGGCATCCAATAGGTGTTTGGGACCCTCCTCCACAGGTTGCAACACATTCACATGTTCTCCATTGACGCACGTTTCAACACAACCATTTGTACATGCAAATGCCATTCAGGAAAAGCTGCATATGTCATACGTCTATACACAAGAATTCATTTCTCCATTGAAGGGAGCTCAATGTGCCTGACCCCCCAGGCTGCCTCACCTGCACATCAAGGAGCACTTCGACCAGAATTCTTCGAGTGCTTGATCCAGCAAAAATGTGAGTTGGGTGGCAAAGGGCAGTGACAACGTGTTTGCTTCCCATTTCAGCTTTGGATGTTTACTGCACCTGTTGCTTCGCGAGCGTAGTGCCCAGTACAGGTTTTTGGAGGCCCCTGGGCCCCCTGCATGGAAAAAGGCTTCTCGGGCCTTTTCTTCAACAATGATGAATTTTGCTGTGTGCCGTATCGCAGCAAGAAGACATGTTTGGAGACAGGCAGATTAGACAGACCTTTTTGCTGGCAAAGAGCTGTCGACAATCCAGCTTCCAACGACAGTCCTTTCCAAGTAGGACCACCAAGGGCAGCCAGAGACTCAAAGTCCGCACATGGAGATTAGTCAACCTCGATTGGCCAGAGTACAATATACTAAGAACCTTGAGACCATTCCTGTGCATGCCTCCTAATTTTAGTCCAGGCCGATTTTCCCAGCGGTCCAAGTCGCGCATCACCACATCTCACCACATCACGCATTGTTTCCGGGAGCCTTCCGATTCACTGAACGTCAAAGCAAGTCCTCGTTCAGTACTCCTGCCATGGCGGACGTGGCCATGGAAGAAGTGGCCACGGAGCCGGAGGTCCACCTGTGCTTGTTGAAGTGAAAGAAGCTATTAGTAGCAGGTGCATCGCTTCTAGTAACAAGTGCCTTACTAGCAGTAACAAAGAAGCTAGTAGAAACAAGAAGTAAATTAAAATATAAAACTAGCTTCTTGTTACTACTAGCGATGCACCTGTTACTACTAGGACGCTATTAGTAAATAGTAGCTTGTTGAAGTGAAAGAAGATCGAATCACCGTGAATAGTAGCGTGCGATCGCTCCGTTCCTAGCGATGCCCTTTGTTCCGTTCGTAGCAAACATTGCTCCTAGTACGGCCAGGAGCCCCTAATAGCGTCCTTGCTCCTAGTAGCGATGCCCTTTGCTCCTAGTAGCTTCTTGCTCCTAGTAGTACGGCCAGGAGCCCTAGTAGCTCCTTGTTCCGTCCATTTGGACAGAGACATTGAACTTGGATTTTGGATGATTCTGACTTGGATTGGTGAGGGGCGTCAAGAGCACAGTGGGTGAACATGGTACCCTCGCGCTTTCGGAGTTCCACTTTGCAGACCTGACACAGTCATTTTGACATCGATCTCAGGCAGCCATCTTCCCACTGTTTGCTTTTCTAGTAGGTTCTTGGGCCCTCTCCATTTTTCCCTCAACGCCGCGCACACCTGGTGAGGCTGTGGCCAACAGCAGCACCTGTGGGGTCGACCCGGTGGGCGATGACGACGACGACGGCAGCGTATGTTATCGTCGTTGCTGCTGTGTTGCGAACCGATGTTGAAGGATATGGATTTGGGTCCCTTTTGGAATGAAGACTTGCACTTTTTTTTCTATTCAATTCACTCAAATGCAGAACAGGGGCGAGATTTATTTATGGCAGTTATATATGCCGTTATCAGAGTCTCAGGAAATATATACTCTTTGGTTGCCACTCCCGCAGCGTTCTTTTTGCTTTGCAAGGTCCGAACAGTTGCCACGAAACGTCCTGAAGATTTGGAAGAAGTCCTGAAACAGCTGGTTGGAAGAAGCTATTAGTAACAAGTGCATCGCTACTAGTAACAAGTGCCTTACTAGTAGTAACAAGAAGCTATTAGTAACAAGTGCATCGCTACTAGTAACAACATTGATCCCGAAAAGAGCTTGAACTCTCTGGAAAAGGTCTGCTTGTTTGCACATGACTCGCTGAGGTGGATTGAACGTCGAGCTGGAAGCCGAGCTGTGAAAGAAACAGCCATGCAAGCTATGCCATGTTTCTAGAACCAACATGGAGTCGGGCAAAATCAAGTACTTCAATGCACAAACGGGTCTTGGATGTGTTTGTTCTTGGACAACACATGACAAAGGATGTTTTCAAAACTTTTGACACAGTTGTCCTGCACTCGTGTTTGCAGATTATGGAGCCACACCAAAGGTTTAGATCCGAAAGACTCCAACTTGGCTAGACGTTTCAATGGCAGATCAGTGGCCAATGGACCCTTGCGAGGTTGACACCTGAAGGTCTTGGAGCGGACCCGAACAAATATATGAATCTACATCAGGTTGGGTCGGTTTTGCGAGCCGTTTTATGGTCCGAAGCTATGCAGCAAGAGGCAACAAGACTCTGTTGCTCTAACCAACCACTTTTGGTCACTGTTGCTCGTGGACAGCCCAAGGTACGTAATTGGTATCGTTATCCCAGTTCGAGCCAAAATGGGGAACTGTGTGGGCTGCATTGACTTCATTCTATAGTCTTCCATCGAACTCATGTACCCAAATGACACCGAAGTAACCCCAAAAAGGTGGGCAGTTCTCGGGTCTTCCGCTCGGGTCTTTGGCTCGTTTTCCGGTCCGCGTGGACACACGCAGCGTGCCAGAGGCAAGACGCACAGATCTCGAAGCCCTCGGTGGATTCTGACCAGGCACGGCAGCGAAAATTTGGTTTCACGCCCTTGGTGAACGCCAAACACGTGCAGCACCTCGAAACACGTGCACTGAACTTGAGACCAGTTGCGGTCCGTGGTGTGTCAGAAGTCAGGTCGAACAGGTCTGACATAACAAGTCTGACCTAACCGTCCAACAGGAAAGTAATTACAATTCTAATTAAATTCTCTTTACTAGTAGTAAGGCACTTGTTTCTAATTACTAGCTTATTGTTACTACTAGTAAGGCACCTGTTACTACTAGCGAGGCACTTGTTCCTAGTAGCTTCCTTTCCTTCCGGGTGCAGGTGTAGACCTGTCTTTCTTTTTTCAACCCACCGCTCCGCCGACCAGGTGGAGAACACTCCGGAGGTCGAAGTGGAGGACGGGGAGCTGTGCAGTCAGAACAGCTAAACAGCTGCAAAGTCTCACAGACTCACAGACCAACCAGCAGATGGGTCTGGTGACGTTCTTGATCAGAGAACTCTACTCTACTCGTTTCTTAGGAGTGCTTGGTGACCGGTCTTGGCTTGTGGCGTACTTCATATGCGTGGGTGCTTGCTGAGATCTCTGGGCGTAGAAGATTGACCGATAGAACCCTTCGCTGATAGCACGATGACAAGGGCAAGGGTTAGCAGAGAGCGGGTTGATCCGCAGTCTGCAAGTTGGTATCGTCGTGGGGGGAACCTGGGAAGCCATGGACAACCCACCGGTTGATAGGGCCTTCAACTTGGCCTCCTTTGAACTGATCTGGAACCTCTGGACTGCTCTCGATGGTTTGAATGATGATTCTTTACTGTGTTATGGGTGGGACATGTTTAGTTGGGGTTAGTTATTGTGCGACACGTCAGGTGGTTGTTGAGCAGTTAGGTGGTGGCTGAGTTCCTTTGGGGAGGAAGTTGTGGAAAGCAACCCATGTTATATACTCATCTCACCCTTTACTCTGGGCTGTCTGCCAGGCCGAGGATGCACTCCAGCTGCCGGTTCGGAGCTTGGAAATGCAAAGGTGGGTAGAAGGGATCTGAATTGCCTCCGCCCTACTAGCGATGGCCTGCACCCTAGTAGCGATGGTCACACACCTTCCCATTTTCAGGAAAAAGACTATGTGATCACCACAGTTCGATAGAGTTTGATCTCAATATCGGCTGTTTTACCTGCATGGCCACTGGTTTCTCTGAGGCACCCACCACCACGCCCTTGAGACGGTCACGCAGGCGCCGCGCAGTTTACCGGCGTGGCATGAGCGGCAGAAAGATGACCGTTTGCAAACTGAAGGGGTGAGGGTGAAGCTTTAAGTTCTCCTGCTGAACTTCGGCCATTTAGTGGTTGGTTTTCTCCACAATTCCGAATTAATTTCAGTGGTCACTTCCACAGGAAGTCTCTAGCAAAGTTTAGCCCTGCCCTTTTTGCAATACTTCTAGAGTCCTACAAACAAGCCTGGGAGGAGGCATCAACTAGAGGAAACTGCGAGTTGCCAAGATGACATCTCAAACATGGACAAGAATGCTCATCAAGAACCCTAAACAACGATCCTCATGATTAGTTTTGCTTTTTGTTTACCCACTCCAAGTGGTGTCTTTGGTCTCTCCCTAATTCTTTCCGAAGATACTCCGGTCTACTCGTTGCACCGTTTGTTTGACAGAAAACCTGAGATGCGCTACTGTATGGTGAGGCCTTCGAAAAAGATGGCCTTTGTATTGATCAGCCGGGGAGCTCGCCAAGCAATTTGCGGCTGCACACACTGACGAGCAACTCGCAGGGGTTGACATGTTCTACACCTAGTAGCAAGGACGCTATAAGGTGGAGGACATTGCTACTAGCAACAAGAAGCCACTAGGGTGGAGAATGTGGCAATTAAAGGCTTTTGGTCGTCCATCAGAGGTTTTCCTTTGAGGACTTTGAACTCTCCACCAGCGAAACGCACACACCGACGCTGGGGACCATCCTATGACCAACAAATAGTTTGTTGAGTTGGGGCTGATCAACGGCAAGATGCAAGATGAGAGAGCTTCGGAATGAGTAGGATTGGAAGGGTACTTGGGATTCCACATTCCTTTGTTTGCCAAAAGATCGGAACCTGCCTTATCCAAAAAACTCGTCCTGTCAAAAGGAGGGTTGCAGGATTCTTGGACATTCGAGATAGCAGGCAGGTGGAAAGGAGTGATTCAGATCCGAGTACAATGTAAAAAGGAATCAGAGGCTGGACTTATGTTGTCCCTTGCAGTATATAAGCGCAGTCCCGCTCTTCGTCGGGCTTTCCAAGTCCCTTGTCCGTTGTCAAGATCTTGTCCCAGAAAATTTGATCGCCCAAGGAGGCTTGCCAGACTCGGCCCCAAAGGGAAAGTAGAGAGGCGGTGACCTGAAATCGCCCAGGCGTGGTCTTGGCAGCCATTGCTCTGGAGTGGGGAGCCCAGAAGGTTTGTGAAGGTGTCAGGGCTGAGATTCTTTGATATTGCTATGATGTTAAGACGTTTCTTGACCTTTTTTGTTCTTTGCATGTGTTCTATTCCTTAGACTTTAGGCCTTTTGGCCTTTCGTTCTTCTTTATGTTTTCCTTTTCTCCTTCTTCATATGGATAACCCGTGTTGTCGACTCCCCGAGACGGGGTCATGTAACCTCATGAGTGTGAGGCACTTGGACCACCAGTACGACCGGGCACGAAGCAGTTTCCGTTTTTCACGGTGGGTTCCATTTGGTGAAGTGAGGATTCAGTTTGGATTGTGGCATTTTCTCAAAACCTGATTTGACGTGTTTCACGGAGATGAAAGGTCACCGAGTCACCGGGAATAGATAGCCATAGTGCCTGTCCGGCCATATGCATAGTGACGAATCGTGTATTGAAAGGGTAGTATGTCTTGTTTACTCCTCCAAATACAGCGAGACAATCTGGATGGCTCAAAGAATCCTATGACCGCCCCCTCCGGATGTACTCTTCATTCACCAATGTTTTGGATGTCCCAGATGTTCTTGGATTGCCAACCAGCAGAAACCACCAGAGCTTCGCCAACCAGAGCTGTCTTCCGGGCAATTTGATTACAGGCTGTTCATCATGACTATGCCTTCTGTGCCGTGGCTCTTGGACAAGATCTATTTCGTGCCCTGGCGCCACGACGGGCGGGAAATCCATGGGACTTGGATCACGACTCGTTGGAGTGGTTGGCCCCTGCCCCCAACTAACATGGACATAGCTCAACCTCCCCTGTTTGTAGAGGAAATCGACTCTTCCAGGCCTTGAACCATCCGGACAAAAGAGGCGGCATGTCCTTCGACCCGGGTGGTTCCAATGTCTAATGTCTGTCACAGATTCGGGCGGTGGTTCTTTGTCTCCGTCACCACCCCTGAAAAAACACGAGCCGCCTCACAGGACTGACCTGTGAATCTTCCACGGACGACCATGTCACAGATTCTTGGGACATGTTTTCCAACATGTAAACGAGATCCTTCGGATGGACATTTAAAAAGAACCAACTGATGACTGACTGCTTCCATCTCTCAGGCGAGATCCGACCCTTCAGGGGGGACGTCCTGAGGCCATCGCTTTGGTCTTCCAGCTGCTCATGGTGTCGGGGCCTCGGGCGGGATGTCAGTGGGCCAGGACTGGAGGACAAACAAAAGGTTACATATGATCGAAACACTGCCAAACGTGGAGGATGAGGTTTGAAGATTTCGACTCGTCGTGAGGCTATGAGGACGAGAATTTGGAAGATGTCGACTGATCGATTCGTTGGATGTGAACTATTGGGGTGAGAGAAAGGCGTGAGTCGATACACAAGCCCACAGGTCGTTTGGGATTCTAGTGAGGCTATGAGGATCGTCAAGATTCCCCACCTCGTGTTCTTTCATCGGTCACTTTCGGGGTCATTTTGGTAGAAAGGGGACCAACATAGTGTCAACGAGTGGCTTCTGATAGCCACTGGCAGTAGCCTGGCCTTTGGCAGACTTCGGCTTGGACAAGAGTGGTTTGGGTCAACAACCATGCAAAAGGATATTGTGAACTTGCAGTGAAACTGTTGGAGGCCATCGCTACTAGGTTTATTGTTGTCTTTCCTTTTTTTAGTGCAACTGAAACAAACAATAAAACATCAGGCCATCAGGTTTCTTGACACAAAAAGTTCACCTTCGGACCTTGTCAGCCGTTCTAGGTAAAAGATTGGAGATAGAGAGAGGTCCAAGTGACCTTACAATGTATTTATTTTCTGCACTTTGTCTTTTTCACGCTTTTCGCCACGTTCAGCGATCCAGTCCCAGGATCGCTTCCTGTCCACTGCCGCAACGCTTCAGCGGCGAAGGCGCGGGAGTTTCTTCGACACGGTTGGTCCTGATCTACGTAGGTCGATATGTTGTAGATTGGCACCGACCGAAGCTGAGGTCTTGCTGTAGGGCTTTACCACGTCTTCCTTGTGTTTTCAAAGTGTATATAAGAAGCTGATCTTTTTTTGGACCCGGAATCTCTCATGCCTTGTTCCCACTGTGTGAGTTGTTTGGACTAGTTACCCAAAATGCCTAGAGGGTAAGGGTTGTCCATGTAACTCCAAAAAAACCGAAGACACGAGAAAAGAATCCCAGAATCCAAGAAGAAGCTACTAGTAGCTCATGGCATTACTAGTAGCAAGGACGCTGCTACTAGTAGCAATGCACCTGATACTAGTAACAAGAATCCACATCCAAGAGGGTGGTCAACTTCGGCGTGTAGGTTCTGCAAATTGTGTGCCACAAGAATAATGAACAGAAGCAAAAAGACTCTTTCTGCTGGTGGAAATGGAATTCTTCAAGACTCTTTTGGGTCCATCCGCTTGACTCATCCTCATTTGAGTTACTAGTCAAACGTTACCCGTAGACCTGTGGACCCTCTTTCCGTTTTGGGAAATCCATCATTGTCGAATTGATAGCTTACCAAAAAGAAAGCTATGTACTTTTTTAGGTTGATGATGTCACCAGCAAGCCGTCCACCATTCGTGTTTGAATCTCTACGACTCATTCGGAGCTGAACTGTTCCCTTTCGCATTCCACGTCTCGTGGCTCGAGCCGCATCAGCCGTCAGCGGAACAAACAAAGGTCTAGCGGTCCAGGGTCAAACGGTCAAACCAAGTCTTTGCAGTGGTCAAACGATACACCGATTTAAGAGCACTGGGAGCAAGGACGCTACTAGGGGCTCCTGGCCTTACTACTAGGAGCAAGGACGCTACTAGGGGCTCCTGGCCTTACTACTAGGAGCAAGGACGCTACTAGGGGCTCCTGGCCTTACTACTAGGAGCAAGGACGCTACTAGGGGCTCCTGGCCTTACTACTAGGAGCAAGGACGCTACTAGGGGCTCCTGGCCTTACTACTAGGAGCAAGGACGCTACTAGGGGCTCTTGGCCTTACTACTAGGAGCAAGGACGCTACTAGGGGCTCCTGGCCTTACTACTAGGAGCAAGGACGCTACTAGGGGCTCCTGGCCTTACTACTAGGAGCATGGACTACTAGGGGCTCCTGGCCTTACTACTTGGAGCAAGGACACTGCTAGGGGCTCCTGGCCCTACTACTAGGAGCAAGAACGCTACTAGGGGCTCCTGGCCTTACTACTAGGAGCAAGGACACTACTAGGGGCTCCTGGCCTTACTACTAGGAGCAAGGACACTACTAGGGGCTCCTGGCCTTACTACTAGGAGCAAGGACACTACTAGGGGCTCCTGGCCTTACTACTAGGAGCAAGGACACTACTAGGGGCTCCGGGCCTTACTACTAGGGGCTCCGGGCCTTACTACTAGGAGCAAGGACACTACTAGGGGCTCCTGGCGTTACTACTAGGAGCAAGGACACTACTAGGGGCTCCTGGCCTTACTACTACTAGGGGCTCCTGGCCTTACTACTAGGAGCAAGGACACTACTAGGGGCTCCTGGCCTTACTACTAGGAGCAAAAAGCTAGTAGAAACAAGAAGTAGACATAAATAGAATTGAAATAGAATTGATTTAAGCACGCTTGATTGCGTTTCATTTTTTGGCACTTGTCCACATGCCCCATGAGCGACCTGGTTCCCACGCCGATGGCACACCCATTTGGTGGGACACCCAGCGTTCACCCTGATGTCGAAGATGGATCTGAGACCGTTTACAGAGACACACCTGGATCGCGGCTGGAAAGTAGAAGGGGCACCAACCATAGAATCCACCGCTGAGGCTTTGTTTCAATTTGAAAGACCGGAGTTGAACATATAAAAAGAATCATTTAAAGTCTTGCTAAACCTCCTTGTCTATGGAAACACTGTGAACATGTTCGACTGTGATTTCGTTGCGGCACTTCAAGCTCGAGGGATTGGGTATGCTTTGCTGGGGCGCCTTGCTGGAGGGTGCTTCTACCTCGCTGTCGCTTTTAGGCTCATTCTCCTGCCCCCTGCATTGCTATCCGTCAGTGGCTCTCCCTTTCCTCTCAGGCCTGTCGTTGGGTTTGATCATTGAACTTTGTCTTGGACTTTGGCTCTTTTGGACTTTCATCCGGCCAGTCACCTTCACGGCCACTTCAAGTCCCTGGGTCGCTTCCGATCGACCCCATTCTCAGTCTTCTAGGCGGCTTCACGCCTATTTGCATGAGTGATCCAGAGCGGCTTCGTCAAGACCTTCAGTCATTAACACAAGCCCTTCGAGATCTTACGTTGGCTACTAGGGAGCTCACGGATCGTCGTGCCGGAGGAGGAGAAGCTGAGGCTGCTAGCAGTCAAGGGTATACCACTCCCTCAAGACGCGGTGGTTGGGAACTAGTTTCCTGGAGCACCACCGGACTTCCTCTCTCGTCCAGTGGTGGTTGAGTTTGAATCCGGCCCTCCAGAGCTACCGGATTTTTGTTTGAGGCTTGCGAAGAAGAACCTTACTTCGTCAAAGGGTTCTGCAGAGGATCGTGCTTGGGAGGCCTTCAAAGCGGGGTTCTGGGTGAGAGCTTTTTGGACGTGCAAGGCTGAGAGATCCGTTCCTTACAATCCAGGAGCCTCCAACTACGCTCACTGGATCCTCCGGAAAGGTTCGGGCTTCGACTTCATCAGGGTCACCTCGCAGGCTGACGCTGATCGTCTGGTGGCAGATTATCCTGACATCACCCAGGTCGAGCGATTGCCTTCTTTGACTGAGCTCCATATCTTTTGTGCAGGTGCTTCCATTCCAGTACCTCCACTATGGCGATGGAGCGCAACTCAGTAAACTTTGCAGCAGACAGTTCCGACCATTCCCTACTGGTCTTCTACATCCCTGGAGATCTAACGGACAGTGGTCATGAAATTCAGTCTTTTGCCATTCCCCTAGTCGCTCGGAAGAAGAGGATGATGATCGCAATGCCGACAGGCCTTTTGAAGGATGAGTTTTTGGCTCCTGGCCGAGTGGTGGAAGAGGATGCTCTGCTGGGGCCGGCTACCACATTTGAAGTTGATTTGATCCTTGAGGATGAATTCACTGGAGCTGCTTACCCTGCTGGTTTCAAAGGTGAGGTAGTAGTTGCGGATTTTGCAAATGATGTATTGAACTTCCTCAGAGACTATGACCCCGTGACGGACTCTACTGAGGAGATTCACAGCTTTCATGAAGTGCACCATGCCGCCATCCCTTCGGCTGTTTCGCTGCTCTGTTAGATCATCATGTTACTTGCATTGACGATATAAACGCTGTGGTAACTCGTTTTGGAAGAGCACTTTACCATGCTGGAAAACCTTACAATCAATTTGCAGAAACTAGTAACGCTCTTACAGCGAAGAAGCCTGCAATTCGGAGATTGATGCAAGGGGCATGGGATTTTGCTTTTTCATGGTTATATGCCGAACCGGGTAGCCATCACGTCGCAATGCCGTGGCAAGTTTTGATGAGCATGATCACAGTGAGCCTCACTTGGGGGTGGACCTATTTTGCAGGGTCCTTAGCACTTTGTTGGGAGCATTGTTGAGACCGGGCGAACTTTTTGCAGGCACACGGTCCGAACTTTTGTCGACGAGAGATGTGGAGAACACGGTGGCCTTTGGCCTCCTATCCATCAGAGAACCAAAAACACGGAAGACAGGAGCAAAACACCAGGCCGCTAAGCTTGATGTCCCCGACCTCTTACAGGTCGTTGATTTTTGTTTTGGCAATCTTTCGCCTGGTGTACGCCTCTGGCCGTGGTCGGGGCAGACGTTCCGAAGTCGATTCAGAGATGTGTTGTCCGCCCTCAAACTCCCAGTTTGGAAAGTTGGTGATATGAAGGCGCTTGACCCCGGTAGCTTGCGTTCTGGATGGTGAGTACACACGTAGGAAAGGTCGCTGGATATCTACAAAGGTTATGGAGATCTACGTGCAGGAGACGGCGTCTCTACTTTTCTTGAAGAGAATCCCTGCAAGCTCACGTGACCTTGTTCTTTTGTTTGCACACCTCTTCCCTTCTGTGTTCCGACAGGTCCGCAGATTTGCTACCTTGGGCCTGGCTCCTTCGGCTTGGCAAGTCCTCCTGGTGAAAGAAGAAGCTTGGAAGTGATGGGCGAAGATGGAGGATCCTTTGATGGTGGCACCTGACTGCCATCCTGTGGAGCTGTAGTATGGAGGAAA